AAATCGGACGAATTGAATTTAAAAAAAAATACGAACGATATCCTTAATAGGTAAAGAGCATAATGTTTTAAATATAAGGAAAAAGTCCAATGACTTTAAATTTTAAAATTTAAAGCTTCGAATCAAATAAGGAGTGCAAAATAAGTATAGTCTGTAAACTCCATATGTGTTATCTATACCTAGAATTTATTTAAAAAGTTTCTATAAAAAAATGGGTAGGTTTCACGACTCGAAGCTTTCGAAACTTGCTCTAAATTTCTTCAACTTTTGTTAAGTTCATTGTTTAACGGTAGTTAATTGCTTGACTGTTTACTTTTGATTAATTCAATCCAGATTTTTCACGTGAAATCATTATTCTTTATTTACTAATAATTCTTTTTATCAATATTTTAAATATTTCTTTCAGAAAATCAAACGACAATAAAAAAGTTAAAATCTTAAAAAAGAATAATAAAATACAATTCCCGATTTTTACAAACTTAGGGTGATACGATCGTTTTACTTTAAAAGCACCAATCAAATTCTCAATTTCTAAATGTATGTTTTATAGGAACTTTTATTTTAATGCTAAAGTGACAAAAAATATTATCGGGCCGGCTAGGAAAATATTTCGTATTAAATTTAAAAGTTTGCTTTCAAAACAATCGAATTCTGCACAAAATCGTTTATTTATTACGAAAAGAATAGGAAAGAATATCTTCACTCTTCACTTAAGATGAACACCGATTAAACTTTTCAGTTTTCGAACGGCATCGTCAGAACAGTTGAGAGCGGGCTTCAAAATCCGTGCCGGGAGACTGACCCATTATTGTTTCCTAGAACTCTTACTAGTCTCGCATTCAGGAGGATTTCAAGATACTAACTTTTCCAACTGTTATTTAAATATTTGCTGCCTTGAATATATTGTTATTAATTACTATTGTTCTTGAAGACAGGTTATTTTTCACTACCATTGTTGCAAACAATTTGTCTGCTTGTTTACCATAGGTCAAAACCTTACCTGGTTCTAGAAACAATCAACACCATTCCAAGCGACGTAATAGGCACAAAAAGGAATCTAACAATTGGTTTCCGTTTACAAGGCAACTGTCTGGAACTGCATTTAGAGTTCTGCTTGCCACGCGAAAGTCGTCTCTTTAGGACATAAACAGTAGGCACTGTAGACTGCCCTAAAATCAAAGACTTAAAACTCTCCTTATGCTACTATAACCAGTATTATTACGTGAAGATAATATGTCATTAACCTAAGAGCTACCATTAGTGCGGCAAACTGATAATGATGATTTCTTTTTTGGTCGTTTCTGCATCGACCATAAATAGTCTCCGTGCGGTATTTGGTAATCATATACTTTGTTTGCTAATAGATGGGATGTTTTTGCTTGGGGTGCTATAGTTAAATAGTTAGTAAGAAAAGGGCGTTCAGTAAGCTCTAAAATGGTTTTTAAAAGCTGTTATGAGTTCATAATCATTGTGTGCTTATGAATTGGCAGCAGATGTAGATAGCAGTAGTCCAGGTTTTTTGGTTAATTAATTCGTATTGGTTTCATTATTTTCATACGAAGATCTTTAAAAGTCGCTGATAGTGAACAAGAAATAACTATAATATTATTTTTAAAATCTGCTATGAGTTCATAATCACTTTGTGCTTGTCGGATGGTAACAATAGATATTGGAAGTAGCAATAATCCAGGAAGAGGCCTTTCTCCTTCCGAACAAATTCGGCTGTCGAAGGGATGGAAAAAATCTAAATGTTCTTTTAATCCTTTTTTAGTTGATCTTCACAAATAAACTGATGGTGGAAATTAACTCTGTTTCCACGGTATCAAGAAATACAATGTCGTCACCCAATCAGAATTTGAGATATAAACCATGGATATTTTTTATTGTCTTTCAATTTTTTCTGAAGAAAATTAACCAATAAAATTTTGAAATGAGCAGTTTTCGAAAGATAGTAAATAGTATACATTGGTTGTTTTTAGATTTTTGATAAATATCTTTGCTTTGTTCCATTTAAGTTTTTTGCCATCATCGAAATTAATTTTTAGCAGTGTAAACTGTAATTAAATTAAATTTTAAAAAATCTAAAAACTGACAAATGCGTAGCATTAAATACAAATCGCATATTCTTATTGATTTAAAATTTGATGGAAAATTCCATAAAAGTTCTAAATTATCAAGCGCTATCTTTGCTAATCTAATAAAACGACCCCTTTTTTTTCGATTTTATTTTAAAGGTATCGTGCTTTAATACTTTTATCAACAAATACTTTACTATAGATTAATATTTTTTATCAAAATTTTCTTAAGTACAAAAAAAATCAAGAAAAAAAACATCAAAATTTTTAACTAAAATCCAAAATGGCGAGGTTAGAGGCTTATGTATTTGAACTTGAGTGTATGATTAAAAAGTATGTTATTAACGATTGAAAATTTGAACAAGATATCGGGAGAGTGTGGACTATTAGTAGGAATTGTAAAAAGTGATAAAAAAGTATGCTACGAAGACCAAAAATAATTAGTAAAGGCTGTCATCCTATTTCTCCGAAGATTCAAGCGATTGTTTCGCACGAGAATGTTTCTTTAATAGTTGCATGCTTTATAAAAAAAGAGCTGAAAACAGAATGATACTTTTATCGATAGAGTTACCATGATAAACTTCGGTCGCTGAAAGTAGTGAATGGGCTTTCTTTAAACGCAATGATCCATACAGTTACAACTCTCTAAGGAGAAAATAGTGAAAGATACCGGAAGAGGTAAGAATCGCCACATCTACAATACAATGTTTAGAAAGTTTAGAACTAAATCAAGTAGTTTTCAATTGCATAGTACACTTTTCAGATCGTTTCTTTTTTACAATAAGGTTATGGATTTGTGTTTCTTAACTCTATTTTTGGAACAAAAGGCAAATGAGGATTGGATTTGAGAAAAGCTGTTAGAATCTTTTAACTCCTCCCCCATTAAAATTATCCTCTCTGCAAAATAGTGTGTGTGTGTGTGTGTGATAATCACTTTTCTCTTTTTTCTTTTCCTTTTTCCTTGTTCTTTTTATAGCGCAAGAGAAAATCATTTTGCCGTGAATGTTAACGATGAAGAATATAATAATTACAATATAACATATTAGGGCTTGCAAAAGGTTTAATTAAAATATTCAATTACGAAGATCTTACGGTATCAGCAATATTTACCTTAACAAGGGGAAAACGAAATAATTTTAATGATGAGTGTAAGATTATTATTCAACCACGACAAGCTGGTGGGGGCAAAGTGAGCCGAAAGTGGACCTGTAGAGTTTATTCTAGCGATTTAGAAGATGAAGGCAAAGATGGTCGAAACGAAATGGAGAATCTAGAACTCTTATTTTTTTTTTAAATTTTTCATTTTTATAACCGTCCTTGAACTACTGAACCAATTTTTTGGGTTTGCAACTACTATGTTCAACTCAGTAGCCTTGTAATTTTGAACCCAATCCAGAAGTCAAGGAAACTTCTGGATCAAACATTGGGAGAAATATGTCTTCGTGGAGGTCTTTTTGATGGTACTAACCCTCATTTGCATTACATGGAGAGGAAAGCCATGAAAACCTCCCACGGTTAACCTAACGGCTAGGGGACTCTAACCCATGATCCGTCTACCACTGAAGATATTTTACGTCAGTACTGTGATCAGTGAAAGCCGGATGCGGAATTCGTATCAACCAGCCATCGCTGGGATTCGAACCCGGTGCACCTTATTCGAATGCGAATGCTCTATCACGTGAGTCACCACGGCTCTTATTTGGAGTATAGTAGAAAATAAAAGAATAAAAACTTTTTTATAGAGCTTTCAAAAGTAGTGAACTGAAGAATCGGAATGATATTGCTGTTGTAATTCTCGCCAAAAGAAAAACGCTCATATTTTGTACGTTTTAACGTTCCTCATCCATTAAAAAAATTAACTTTTCCTATTTCCCTAAGCTTTCCCGTAGGAGTTTTGTTTTAAAAGTATTTAAATTTCTACTCAAGTGTTCTTTGCTTTAATAAAAAGTTCCCTTTGTTATGTTACAGAATAATTCCTCCCTCAATTAATGAAACGTGCTCCCAATGAAACTCATATTTAGATTAATAGAGCTCTAAGCTAGCAAATCATAGATATAATGAGATACCCAAATACCAAAAAAAGTTAAAATTCTAGGACCTGTCGCTTGAGCGCGATGAGCTTCGAAATGATAGAGAACGTGATTGTGAACTATACCGCAGGAAACGGGGAAATACTTGTCCTTTAGTGCAGTAAAATCTTGCAAACTTGCCTTCATGTACTATAATGTTTAACTTAAAAAATTAATTGAACGCCAAGAGGACAAAATAAGGCTGAAAGTTTTCTGTCTTACTGATGGCTGAAGAGATTATTGTAAATGTAAAATCTTACTGAGAAATCAAATATGATTCGCTACAAGTACTTATGAATACATCAACACTAAAACAATTCAGAATAACCTCCCCAATAAATGTCGTGTATATAGGCAGTTGAGATTGCTTATTTTAAAATAAGAGAAAAAAATTCTTAATGAAGGAAAAAGTTTTATTAAACTAGGATTGAGAAATATTTCTATAAACTGGCAAGAGCCATGATGGCTCAGGGGATAGAGCGTTCGCCTTCCAATGAGGCGACCGGGTTCGAATCCCAGCGATGGCTGGTTGATACGAATTCCGGCTTGCCCCGACCACAGTGCTGACGTAAAATATCCTCAGTGGTAGACAGATCATGGGTTAAAGTTCCCTTGCAGCCAGGTTAACCGTGGGGGATTTTCGTGGTTTTCCTTTCCTTGTAACTCAAATGCGGGTTAGTTTCAGCAAAAAGTCTTCCACGAAGGCAAATTTCCTCCAATACTTGATCAAGGAGTTCCCATGCCTTCTGGATTGGGTTCAAAATTACAAGGCTACGGGGTTGAACATTAGTAGTCGTAATATAAACTGGTATAAAAAAAAAATTAAGAAGGTACTTATTATTATCAAAATACTCACAGGGCCTGACCGAGAATTTATCCCAAAGTGTTCTTGGTCTAGCTCTGCACAGCTGCGAAAACATCGTCCATTATTCAATTAGAACCTGAAATAAAATAATTGGTTAAAATAATACAGAATAATAACACGCCTTTTGATACATGAGGAAATAATAAATTTTATTCCTGTAAGTTAAAAAAAAAAAGACTTTTGATTGCTTTTAAGACAAATTCAAAATGGATCGATTTCGGTAAATATAACTCCACAAAAAAAGCAAAAAAATTTATTCGTCATAGAATATAATTCGGTAGACGCAACGTAACCGATTCCGAGATAAGAAAAAAGATTTTTTTATTATTAAACAAAATTTTTTTGCCCCTTTCGAGTGTAATGCTTGAAATTTTACATCATTTTTATGACACTCAACAGTCGGTGCTCTTATCTATCATATATGCAAATTGAACATCGACATAAAACTGACCCAATACGCGACTCAATAGTATCAATGTTCTAAATTAACAAAAAGAAAAAAATGATTAGGTAGAAAAATGAACGCTTCTCAATAATCTCCAAAGGGCTTACTTTGACAGTTACGAGCAATTCAGGCAATTGATGCCTCCTATTAAAAATAGGTCACAATTTAGAAATGGCGCCAGTGTTTTCGTTTACGAAGACGTTCGGCCTTTGAAGGTCGACCGTATGCAGAATATGTCGACCATATTGGGCAGGTCAAATGCTGAAGAGCAGACAAAATTATTCTTTGAGAAAAATAAATGGCATATCTTAGAAGGTGGGAGCATATTTATGTCTCTTCGCGTTAATTAATTGATGCTAAATTTTGTTTTAGCACTTCGCCAACCCACGATGCGTCAACTTGTAGCGTTGTTGTATTGTGATTAGTCATTATCAGTTTAAGTAGGCATGGCTATGCCGAGAATATATTAATTAAACATTTTTCTTCATATAAGGGAATGTCACACTGTGCAACACAAAACTTCAATGCATTTATTCTGCAGTGGAGTGCAGAGGGCGCACCAGGCATCCAATCAAAGAAGGGTCATCCCATCGACAGTTAACAACATTAAAACTTTATTATTTTATTACTGGCTTGAAATTTTTTTCGTTTGGCTCTCAGTTAATATCTTACAAAGCATAAAGTTTGATTTTCAAGCAATTTTAACCCTTTGACATGCGAAGACGTCTGGGAGACGTCATTTGTTTCTCATGTCAAAACAATAGACGTGTCTCAGACGTCTTCAACACAGAGATGCTTACTTGCTCCGGACAGCAAATAAATATTTTAAAGTGGTAGTTTATCAATTGTGATTCTTGGTTTCATAAATTCAATTAAGTAGATTTTTATCCACCACTATTTCTAAATAATTCACAGGCTTATATAATTCACCACTTTATAGTAGTTTACCTTTAAATACCTTTAAATACTATACCTTTTAAAAAGTAAGCAAAAATAGTCAAATATTTGCAAAATTTAGTTTGTAGTTAGTTACCGTTTTTTTAATTACTTTGGCGTGTCTGGAGCAGTTGGCATCTCTGTCAACAGTGCAATCAAAGAACATTTCTACAGCAAGAAATGATGTGTCAAGGGGTTAATATTTAAAAAAAGTTGTTGATCGTTAAAATTTACATCTTTGCATTTAGGGAGGGAAAAATAATATTTCATCCAAAATAAAATCTTACCATACAATAATTTAAACACTCAAAACCATAAATATATATTTTACAATTTTTTTCCCTTTTTAGCGATCATTATTTTTTTGTAGGGCATCTCATCAAGGAGCTTTGCCCGGGCCCCATACATCTTTGAATGCGTCTGTTATCCTGAAATAACCAGTATTGCGAACGAACGAATTTTTTCCCCAGATTGCTTGTTGCTGTTGAGGAGCGAGATACAATGTTTTGACGCTTTAGTTTGAGTTTATATTAACAATTAAGATAAGATCAGAGTCCGACTGACTTTGCCTAATTGGGGCCCGGGGCAAAAACTTCTTTTGGGGACCCCCTCTGCTTCAGTAATAGAGAGCTGAACTTTATGGAGCTATTTAAATTGTTCACCTCGTTATAACAAGAAAACTGACTAGAACCTAAAATAGCTATAAAGTGCTCTCCCCTCCGCCTCCAATGGTCAGACGAATTATTGTTCTTTCCATTTTATTGATTTTCTGACAATTCCACGTCCAGCATGCGAAGACAGTTTTCTGATTGTTAACTTTGTCATCTAGCTGCAAAAAATTCATATCCTTGTTGACATAAGGGCGGAATTCAACCAAATTTTCACAATTACGATAGCTCAATTAAGCCAATCAGTAGCCCGTATTTTTGTAAGCAGATGGCATTTTGCGATAAACAAAAATATAGGCTTTTCATTGGCCCAATTTGTCCATCGCAATTGCGAAAATTTAGCTGAATTCCCTCCTAGAAAACCATGGATTTAAGAAATATAGATATTTTGTGTTCATACGATAGATTAATGAAGAAGCTAACATAAAACTGACGAATTTTACACTCTACTGATGTTTTGTTTAAAAAAAGTTCAATGAAGAAGGAAATTTAATATAAACTTTATATTCGATTTGGGGGCCCCCTCTGACGTGGGGGCCCGGGGTGACTGCCCGTATGCTCATGCGTTAGTCAGGCTCTGAAGATAATTTTATATTAACAATGATCAAATTTTAAATTATTAAAAAAAATCTTTTACGCAAGTAAGTTACCGTACTTTCAGTTTTTTTAAAACTTTGCTACTAGCCATAACTTGATTTTCATTTTGCTGTCACGTATGCTAAAAGAATTGTTCTAAATGTTTGTGTATATGCCGATTGGTTTACGGATTCTCACTCTATAAATGATATTAACAATGCATAAAATGTATGAGTTATATATTACTTAATAATGAAACCAATACTATATAGTTAATACTTTAAACTGTTTAAAATGAATAAATTAAATTTTGCTTCTCGCATACAATCCATTCTGCCAATAGAAACAGCAACGTCAAAAGAAAAATTTTGAAATACAAATTATAGTATATCATCTAAACAAAATCTAACATTAAATTTACAGAAACTTATCTCAGAACATTTGTACAACAATTTCCATTGCAACAATTTAAATTTTTTACCTACTTTTTTAAAAATTTAGAATCAAAAATTTCAGCAACCTTTCCTGCTTTACCAGTGAGATTTCTACGAACCACTGGTTCTAAAAGTCTGACTTTTTAGAATAAAACATTTTATTAAATGACGCCAAAAATACAGAGTGTCTCGTAATCACCACCCTTAGTGTATATTTTTAAACCACTTGATATAATGTAGTCAAAATTATATGGAAGTTATGGGTCGTATCTTTTTTTAAGAGATACAAAAAGCAAATAAGCTTTCAAAATCTCTAAAATCACTACTGATGCTGCTTTATCATCATTAAGTATTAGTTTATTATATGATGAATGAATACTTATAACCTAACTGAAAGCAGTAGGAAATTAAGAGAAGTTGAAAGGTGGTTTCCAGAAACACCTTCAAATTTGTTTTGCCATTCAGGTAAAATCCTATGCCTCTTTGTCAGAATTTGATAACGCTTACGTTATTAAATAGCTTAAATAAATATTAATTTATAATATGTTTCTTACTTTACATATTTTTTTTTAATATTTTTTTTCACCGGCGTTGAACCACTGACCCAATACTCAGTTTACGATTATCAATGTTCAACTCAGTTGCCTTCTAATTTTAAATTCAGAACAGAAGACAAAGGAACTCCTGGATCAAGCGTTAAGACAAACTTTAGTCTCTGTGGAGGTCTTTTTGATCTAACTGATCCACATTTACGTTACATGGAGAGAGAAACCACGGAAACTTCTCATGGTTAGCCCGATGGCAAAGGAATTCTAACCCATGATCCTTCTACCACTGAGGATATTTCACGTCAGCACTGTGGTCGGTGCGAGTCGAGAACAGCCAGCCACCACTAGGATTCGAACCTAGTGCATCTCCATCCTTAGAGCCACTGCTGCTCTGATTTCATATTCTACAAGGTTTCTATGAATACGAATTAACGTAAATAATATGGGAGTAATTCCTTGTATACTTCCGGCCTATTTGTAGGTTACACATTTACTAATCAGGTAAACATCTGATAAATACAAATTAAATTTATTTAAAAAAAATTTTTTTTTTGGATTAAGCCAAGACAGAATTAGTTTTACAGTTAATTTGACATGAATTAGTTTCACCTAAAAACAGTTTCGTATTTTTTCTTTGTTTAAATTTAATAGCCATAATACATTAAAAAATAAAAAAATAAAAAAAGACTGGCACTTGGCACTTTTAAAAATGAGACTGATTACCTCTTTTTCTTTAATTATTAGTAATTTTGCAACGGAGTGTTTCTTTGGTTGCTTATAAACTAATCTTCACAAAAATCGAAGATGGAATCCCCATTCCACTATCAACAAAGCTATAAATATTGAAAGATAGGCATCACTTATTGCATAATATTGAAAGGGAGGAAAGAAAGAACCGATGGATGACAAATGAATATATTGCAGGGTCCATTGTGAGGGAGAAATATTATTTCGGTCATGTCAAGAAGTGGTCAAAGCTTGACCAGACATGGCGAAGGTCAATGTCCCGGATGTTTGGCCGCTGTCGTAGTTAGAAAAGAAAACTGGTTAAGAGAAGGTCCATGAATATGGATGCAACATAGAAACAGAAGGCACAAATCTCGCGCAGTAATTAATGATTCTGGGTTCATTACTCCACCCTGAGTAGATTCTAACCCTCTGCCACCTAATCGTCAAGGCCACGGAACAGACGAATGGATAGACAACCCTTTCTTTTTCCCTCGGGAATTAAGAATAGCACGGGAGCCCACCTCATAATCAAAACCAATCATTAGGATGCTACTGTTCGGAATCATCATCGCAAATTCAGTCGATTACTGATTTGCGTAATGGTCTTCGAGACCTCACTTAGGCAATTCAATCGTTTTAATTGCGATCAGGGGACATTATAGTTATCCCCATCAACCTGTTAGCTTCTTTCTTCTCCACTTAACGACACATTTTTCCATGTCTATTACTCATGGGTGTTT